GTCAATGGCTACCATGCATAATTAATGAATCAATCAACCATGCATCTCAGCTTCCCATCCCTTCTCCCCTCCCTGTGCCCGGTCCTCATCATCCTTGCCCATGCTCTTCTTCATGGCCACCCATGCTAAAATGCTCTATGTCTCCTAATAAGTTGCCTGCCTTTTGGTTTGGATTCCTGAGCAATGGTTTAGTAACTAATCATGCTGCTGCTCCTAATGCATTAGCTGAACTTGAATATGGTGTGAAACTGCATTGCAGCTTGAGCAGCCTAATCATGCTGCTGCTCCTAATGCAATAGCTGAACTTGAATATGGTGTGCAACTGCATTGCAGTTTGAGCAGCCCAACATGCATGGTGTCATTGGCTCTTGATGTCCCTCATGACCATGAACCCTTGACTGCCTGATTGCCTTGATTTCCACTCATGATGCCTTGAGTGCCAAACATGATGCCCTGAATCACTCATGATGCCTTGCATCCTTTTTGCTCCAGGGCTCATAGCCTCTGATCAAAAACCTCATGCCAGGCCATCAGCACTGGTCCAGCACCTTGGATTGTAGGCTAGTTGTGCTGCCACTGCCCTTGATTAACTGCATGCTTGCTGATGGCCATGCAACTGCCCATCTATTGCTTGCAAGGCACTGCGCCTTGCCCGCTTGTGCCATACCAGCTGATGAATGGCGCCTTGCATTGCACACCCAAACAAGTAACCAATGTCCCCTTCCATTGCACTTGCATTCATCATGTGCTGTCAAGTCACATCTTCCTGGCTGCATCAGGCTTAGAACATGCCCTTGATGCATTTCTGCCTTAAGTCCAAAGTGTGCATGCACATTGATGCTGATGACTTCTACCTTGACTCAACTAATTCTCCAAGGCTCCCGTTCTTATCCTCGCTTTCCTGGATCCTCATTTGCACACTATTCACATGTATGTTGCTTGCTGATGGTCAAGAGCTGATGTTTGTTAACTATGTATCCTGCTGATTGCTTGCTGGGTCTGTTGATTGATAATTCATCAAACTCATCAAATGCTTGCTTGCTGAGGCACATCTTGTCGATCTTGGTCATCTCCCTTTGGAATGACCACATGGGCTGCAATGGAATGTCCATTTCCCACTGATCCATTTGCTGATTGTAGTGCTCATAGAGCTTCCTTAATCAATGATGCACTTGGATATCACATCATGCACTCACAAGCTAACAGTTCTTTGATTGCTGATTCTGGATTGAAACTTCCAAGGCACACCAGCTGCTGCATCCTGGCATCAATGGCCTGGTATGCCTTGATGAGCTTGCTCCATGGGGGGCACATGCCCATGATGGAAGCAGCATCCTGATCCTCAGCACATCTCAAACACTTGCTAGTTTCAAGCACTCATGTAATCATTTGTTTACTAATTAATCCAATGCTCTGGATGGAATTGCTCCTGTTGCCATTCCTTCCTGTTGGCATTCTTCCTGATGAACTGCTCTTTATCATGTGCCACATAGTCCTTCATCCCACATACCTTGCGAATCAGCTGCTGATACCTTAGTTGAAAACAACAAGTCCAATCATCATGCAACTTAATTAGAATTTTGCTTCATGAACTGTCATTTCATTAGTTACTCAAAGCTGCTGGGCCTGCAGCTTTGCATCCAGCAATGCTGCACGAATTGCCAAATCCCATTCTGCCTCATAGTAATCCCCTTGGCTGGAATGAATAAAGCCAATCATGTGTTGCCATGCTGGTTGCAATGGTTGCCCTGCTGCATTGCCTGCTGATAATTAGCATTGCCTAATGAAACTAATGCTGGCAAGGTTCTGCTCATCCCTGGTGCAAATGTAGGGCGCAATCCCTGGATCATGCCCACCAATATGGCAGAATCCCCCATCTGATCATCATACCTGAGCCCAGTAATTAACTGAGTAACAGCTGATGACATCTGACTAACTAGTTCCTTATCACCTCATGTGCTCATCATCATGCTTCATGTAATTATCTTGCATCAGCCAAGAGGCTCTCTGAGCACCTGTGCCACATGCCTTTGCAAATCATGGAAGCCTCCATAGGCGATGTCCATGCCTGAAGTTCATCAAGAATTTAAAGCATTCACACACTATACACCTGGTTCAAGCAAACTCCATGCCATGAATCATGAATCTGATTGCTGACACAGGCACGCTTCTCCATGAACCCTGCTTTCCTTGCACATGTCCAGGCTGAGTTGCTGATGTTGCATGCCTGAGCAGTGAACAATGTTCATCAATGTTCATGTGACTACCTGCATGCCATTGCAAAACAAATACATTTGCATACTTAACTAATTAATGACTCCAAGTTGCATGATCCACAAACTGATGCATCTTCCACAATGCATACAGCATGAAGCAGTACATCACCTGATTTGTGTGCACCCTCCACCCATGCTAATTTCCCTGCATTGCCATGCCCCATGTGGCCAAGGCACTCCCTGATTGATCAACTGATGGTGCTCCATGTCAATCCCCTGGCCTCAGTCATGATAGTTAACAATTGTCAGTGATGAGCAATTGTCAATTTGTCCCCCATGAATTGATTCAAGCTACTGATGATGCCAAATACCACTGCAATGATGGCAACCAGGCATGCCATCACCTTCTTCATGCTCATGGCCATGCTAATGGGCTCCAAATACAAACTGATTCCAAGCTATGGTGCAAAAGGCTGCTGATGATTGAATGGCTCATGCACATGCTGGATGCACATGATGCCAAGTGAATCCATGCTCACTGCCCCCATGCCACTCATGACAGCGCATGCACCTTCATGTTTTCCAACTCAATCCTGATGCCAACTGCTAAGAACACTGGGTTGCAGCTACTCATTGCTTACTCATCTTTCTTTTCCTCATCCTTCCCTTCTCCAATTGGCTTCTTTGCCTCATCATCCTTCTTTGGATGCAGCACCTGATGAAGATCTGATCCTAGCAGGGCTTGGCCAGGGCTGAAAGGGAATGGTGCTGGCACCACCAACCCACCACCACCCACCACACACCACCCACCACACACCACCCACCACACACCACCCACCACACACCACCCACCACACACCACCCACCACACACCACCCACCACACACCACCATAACCCTTTTTCTGTCATACACCACTTGCCATGTCCATTGCACTGAGCCTAACTAATCTACAAACCTGATCTCATGAGGATGCTGAGGGAATGTACAGGATGTTGTGGTTGATGCATCTGAATTTAATCCTGAGCCTGATGGTGCTGAGTCTGATCTGAGCCTGATGATGCAAGTTCTGATGGCACATCTCCAACATGACATTCAAGCTCCTTGGTCTCATCACCCACAAAATAGTAGCTGCCTTTTGCTGCATACTCAATCACCCAGCCCCAGATGCACCATGCATCTGAATATGCAGGGTTCTCCAGCTGGACAAACTGATACACACTGTCTGCATAATGCAGGCACCAGTATGTGTCTGCAACATCAATGCCCAAATACTGACCAATCAGATTAACCACTTCAACATGATGCCTGATTCTCCTTGTCATGCCCACTAATGCAGTGTACTGGTTGGCCCAATAACGCTGGACTGATGCACCCTCATCAACTGCTGCATTCTCATCCTCCTCCCCCAGCTCTGATCCAGCCTCCTCCTGCCCAGCCTGCTCTGTATCTGCATCATGCCCTGAATCTAAATCTGACTCATGAAGTTCATGCCATGAATTCTCACTCACTGATGACATGGCTGCAATGCTGGCCGAGCTAATGCTCACTGAACCCTTGCTGAAATGCCTGCAAACCCATGCCTCCCCTTGTGAATGTCATGCTGAATCCATGCAAACCCTCATGAATGTCCTTCTCAATCCCTCTTGGAATACATGCCTGCCCATGCAAACCCTCATGAATGTCCTTCTCAATCCCTCCTAGAATGCATGCCTGCCCATGCAAACCCTCATGAATGTCCTTCTCAATCCCTCTTGGAATACATCCAGCCCCTGCAAACCCTCATGAATGTCCTTCTCAATCCCTCTTGGAATACATGCCTCAAACCCTCATGAATGTCCTTCTCAATCCCTCCTAGAATGCATGCCAGCCCATGCAAACCCTCATGAATTTCCTTCTCAATCCCTCTTGGAATACATGCCTGCCCATGCAAACCCTCATGAATGTCCTTCTCAATCCCTCTTGGAATACATGCCTGCCCATGCAACCCCTCATGAATGTCCTTCTCAATCCCTCCTAGAATGCATGCCTGCCCATGCAAACCCTCATGAATGTCCTTCTCAATCCCTCTTGGAATACATGCCAGCCCATGCAAACCCTCATGAATGTCCTTCTCAATCCCTCCTAGAATGCATGCCAGCCCATGCAAACCCTCATGAATTTCCTTCTCAATCCCTCTTGGAATACATGCCTGCCCATGCAAACCCTCATGAATGTCCTTCGCAATCCCTCCTGAAATGCATGCCAGCCCCTCATGAATGTCCTTCTCAATCCCTCCTGGAATACATGCCTGCCCACGCAAACCCTCATGAAATGCATGCAAAAGTTCTTGGCTCAATACTACTTTAGAATTGGCCCAATTCTAAACTAGCCCAAAGCAAAATAAGAAAAAACAACATGCCCAATACTACTTTTGAATTGGCCCAATTCTAAAGTAGTATTCGAAAACCAAAAAACTGAGCCCAATACTAAACTCCTTTAAACAAGGCCCGAACCTGAAAATTCTCCCCTAATCTTTATTTATGGTCATTCAGGGGGGGGGGGGGGCCCTATTTATTAATCATAGGTCAACATTATACCAACGTCTGTGTGTGTGTGTCAGAATATGGAACCCCTAAACTGGGTACCCTCTGAACTCCCTCTTAATCCAGGCCCCAAAGAGGGTACCCCCCCTCTTGGGTAGCGTCAAATCACGGCCCTTTGGGGTACCTGAAAGGGTGCCGAAGAACACCCAACACACCCAGCGCTCGCTCACGTTGGCTCATCTTCACTCTCAGGCGTCCACGGGCAGTTCGCCAGGTGCAGCGGAGTGTTCCTCGGGGAGTTGGCCAAAAGCAACGCAACCGGCATATGGCAAGAAAGCCCACCGTACGCAGCCACAAAACCATTGTAAATGTCCGTTCAATAGAAGGTGTCCTTTGTCCCTTACTTGCAGTATTTAGGGCATCCACCGCATCTCCATGACCTCTTGTTTTTTGGTTTCTTCTTGGGAGGCATGTTCATTGTCGGGCAAAAATGAGGATGGTTGAAGCATGTCAAACAGGTGTCTCAAAGGCCGTTTCCTGTGTTTCCCTGGGTTGGCATGCCTGACTGAGTGTGACAAATGTGGCATGAATTACTAGTTAATACTATTAACATCATTATTCCTACTGTTACTACTCATTGGTTGCTGCTATTGAAATAATGTTGTCTCCCATTCTTACTAGTGTTATTAGTACTCGTGTTAAGTTGTCATTACTGTTTCTTATTATGTATTCATTACAGCGTGTATCATCATTATTATGTCGTATACAATTATGATATTTATTGGCGCTGTTCCTGTCATTATTGTTTCCATTGCGTCATCATCATCATGATCATCATCATCGTCATCGTCATCGTCATCATCATCAGCATCATCGTCATCATCATCATCATCGTCATCATAGTCATCATCGTCATCATTGTCATCATTGTCACTGCCATCATCGGCCCATGACTGCTATTACCATTACGTGCCATTGTTACGACGAATCGGTACTATCATTGTGATTGCTATTGCTGTAATTGTCATTGTCATGAGTTGTGTTGTCATCAGTAGTAGTGGCAGCAGCAGCTGCAGTAGCAGTAGCAGTAGCAGCAGCAGCAGTGGTAGGCGTAGTAGTAGCAGTACCATCTGCATTATGATCATAGTTTTGGCTGTAGTTGTTGTGATTGATTGTGGCTTATCTGGGTAACAGGCTCAATATGTTTGTCTGGTTTATTTAAACTTTATATGTGCCAATGGTTTACGCCTTCTGGTGAATGCGTGGTTCAATGCGTGCCAAAGACTCCAGTTGTCCTTAACAAAAAAATAGAAAAGATTCTGGCTTCCCCTCAGTTTTCCCTGCAAAATTCGCACTCAGAAGGTATCCATTTTCGCAGAAAGTCGCCTCTATGCACCTAGTCTCGATCAAATGACGAAGGAAGCTTCACTCTCAGTCCAAGTTTCTGCCACGGCTGGTTCGGAAGAGAAACATCTGCGCCTGACAAACCGCATCTCGGCCACCGTTGACCGGAAAGGGTCTACCCAAACCAAGGAAAAAAAGCTAGAGGGCGTCTTGTCCGCATTTACTTATGACCGTCCACAGCTTCAAATCTGACCGTCCACAGCTTAAAACCGCATGAGATGCTCATTGAGAATCAATCTGGTCGGCGGCGCCATCTTCCAGCGCAGCTTTCAGCTTCTCCATATCGCACTCCACACATGCCTCACCAGCCCCCTTAAAAAATCACCCCCGAAGGAAACTCACTTCGGATCGCCCCACAAGGTGATGTCTAAAACCAGCAAGGGTCGAGTTCCTTGAGGTGAGAAGGCGAACAGGGCTCCAACGAGTTTGTTGTCGTTGTCGGGCACAGCCAGCTCTCTGTTGAGATTGATGTGGCGATGTGTCGGGAGGCTGTGGCTTTGAACACCCAACGCTGAAGCTTGCTTGGTTGCACCCCTTGGCAGCCGTTTACACTGGATGAATTGCAGCCACTCACCACTCTAAGCATCAAACTCGCCTTATAGGGCCCCAGGTGCTGGTTAAAACGACCAAAAAGGGAAATATGGGGAGCGCTGCACCACGAAGGGCGTTCCAACCACTCGCTTCAACTCACTCTGGGTCCAGCTTCTGCGCGCGCCTCCAGCATATCCTCGTCCGGTTGGAACACGTCCTCCGGATCCTCGGTGGAGGCCTGGCGTCTTCCAAAGTGGCTACAAAAACCCGGCCTGAAAAGTGTAGAAGTGCAGCATCAAATTGGATGCCGAAAAGTATTTTAGATCCCAAGAAAGCCGTGTGTCTTTTACTTCGTTTGTGTACAACGTCGCCGAAGGCCACTTAGCGAACCCACTCTCCCGACCCGGATCTGTGCCTTGTAATTCTGGTCGGCCAGCGGGCCGTCATACCTCGGTCACGGGGGACCGGAGCTAGGGATCTGGTTTCTGCAAACCTGTGTAAGAGCAATGTGAACGCGCCGCGTCCAACCTGCAAAAAGTGAGGCACTTAGGGTTCTCAACGTTCAGACACGGCATTGTCTGGCAGGGTCGGTGTCACTATTGTGAGGTGCGTGCAACACAACTGATTGGCATGGCGATTGCCCCGGCCTGCCCATTCTTCATATACAACAGAAGATACTGTCTGCTAACTTCAAGATATGGTGGATGCCTAAACATAAACCAATCGCACTCAAACACCAAGCCACGGCAAACCGCGGTAAACTGTAGAATTGGTTTTCTTGTTCCCTTACGTGACGATGTTTGAAAAGGAAGACGAGCAGTTGCAGTAATTCCAAAGCCTGAAAACATGGGATCTTCAAGTGAAGGACCTACATCATGTTGTGCTCATTTCCCCCACCCACCCCCCCCCAGGTAAGCCGGTTATGAAGCCGCCAACACATTGGGTCTGTTTTTCAAAATCGCTCTCAAACCCATCAAGTGGCAAGCGTTGGGATTCTAGCATTGAAAGCTGCCTCGACGCAACACCTTTGGACATTCAAGCCAACGCAGGGAAACTAACAAAGGAGTGTGCGCTGGATGGCCAACCCTGATTGCGCTTCTCTGCAAGTGTCCCATGCTACACTGCCAGATCTCTGCTAAAGATTTGTGCAAGGAGGTCGCTAGGACTTCGCGCGGATTGGATCTCTCTCGCAGCACTTCTCTTTAAAATGCCTCTAGGGGGATCTCTGAACAAGACCTCTTTACAGGATGCCAGATCTCTCTTGAAGGATTGCTGGCGTTTGCTTTCTCTGGACAACATGTTTTTTTGAAGCTCTCTGCAGGCTTGTGCAAGGCGCAGCGAGCTGCGCAACCAGCACAAGCGCCCCCCACCACGACGGAGTGGCTCAACACACCCAACGTCCGCGGATAGCGCTACAGCCAAAGCAATTCGACAAACCCACTGATTCGCAGCACAGTCTTTGGGCCATTGGGGAGTGAGGACTTTCGAAAGTGACTAGCTTCGAAACGTCACCAAGCCCTCAGCTCTGCGAAACTCAGGCGCCGACGGCTTGGGAGGCGGTGGGTCCGGGATGAACCTCAAGCTCCAAACCCCCGCGGTTTACCGAAAATCAGCTCTTCAACCATCCCCGCTGCACCAGGTAGAAGGAGCATACCGTGCATAGAAATACGCTTCGCACCAGTTGGGTGGTTTATCCCAGAATTGGTAGGTAGCGTGTCATCCAATCTGACTGGTGCAGGACATCAACAGTAGGAATCCTTTTCGCGTTGCTCTTCAGTCAAGTTCCAAAGCACCTTCTCTCCCAATAGGAACAGCGACCCTTTGCAAGGTTTGGTGCCCTGCATTCTGCCTTACTTTGCCTTACTTGAAGCAGAATCGCTGAAAAGCTCAAAATGATTTCATACAACCCAAAATACGGAGAAGAACAACAAACAAATTGTCGGACATGGCTGGGTTGAAAACTTTTCCACACTCGGCCCACGGCTCGTCCCCCTTCATGAAGGGCCTCTTGCCATTGATGGTCTCTCCCACCTCGGGCTTACAGGCATGCTGGCGGGCGCGCCAACAAAACAAGTGAGGCCCCAGGTTGGGTGACCCGTGGAATGGGTTCTGACAATTGTCCCGTGGTGATCGGAACCCGTTTTTTTATAACACCTTAGGGTCCCTTACAGAGATTCACCTAGAATACTGGACACCTTTTTCTGGGGGTTGGCAAGGGCACCAATTCCTTGGGCTGCCCCATGGCTCAAACTGGGAGCACCTCCTACATGTGGTTTTTCGACACGAAACTAACGGGAGACCAAAGAAGCCTCGAGGGTCCATCAAGCCTGCCAAGTCCCATTCCAGCCAAATCCCAAGCAGTTCTGCCCTCAAACACACACACAAAACGTCTTTTTAGGCGGCACTTGGTTTGTGTTCCTTTCCCCTTCTCAACAATCAGTGGCCCAACTCATTCTCTCCCCCGCCCCCCCCAAAAAAAAAAAAGATCCACTCGGTGCCGGGCGAAGGGATCCTGGGCATCTTCTGGCCCCGGCTTCTGCCACTGCACCTCCAAAGACCGGAGACCCGTCTGGCCCCGTCTGACCGCGTCTGTCGAAGGCCCCAAGGCCGGCTGAGGGAATGGTCCCCAAAATCCGGGCTTTGACGACCCCTGAAAGTGAAACTCAGCCCAAGAAATACAACCAGCGCTAAGAGAAACCACGGCTTCGCGCTGGCATCTTGGGCAAAACTCGCCAGGCCCCCCGATTTCTTGGTCTTCGGGTCGTGAGTCGGGGCGCCTTCGAAAGGGCGCGGCAGGAGTAGTAGACCTGCGAGCCGAGATGAGCGGAAAGTGGCGCGCCTGGGTTCTGTTTGTTCAGTGGAATGGACCCCAGCTGGGATCTGGACATTTGGAGTCTGGAGAACATTGGAAGACGTCAAACCCGGCTGCTGGCACCACATCAGTAAAGACTCATCCGCAACAACAAACAAGACCCCAAAGGGTGTTGGGCTCAATGCAGATATTCAACTCTGATCTCAGAAGGGTACATCCACACGGCTGCTTCAAAGGGATAGGCAGCTACGCCGCTCTCCATTCGGCGTGCACAGCCTGGGGAAAGCAGAAGTAGGTGCTGCCGTCATTGGTGGCAAAGGCCTTCCAGCCTGCGATTTGATGGCGTCCATTGAGTCTGAGCAAATTGCAGACATAATTCCCAGAAGCCAGAAATCCTTCATGGGTGACCTCGAGTTACTCCGTGAGCTCGCTCAAAAAAAAGAGGAAATTGTTATGAGCCACAACTTGTGAATCAGCCCAAAGGCGTTCATGCCAGGGGTCATGTATGAACATATACACGCATTGACCCTTTGAGTTGATGATTCTATGCCAAGGTCAACATTCATTGTGCCCCCCGACAGGTAATTGGTGAGAGTGCCTATACAACACACAATGTCGAAACATTAACTGTAATAGCTGAGAACGGGTAACTTCATATACATGTTTCCTCGCCCAAAACCCAAACCCCCCAACATGCAGTGTTCAATCACGGTATGTAGTAAGAACGTGTTGTGCCACGTGCAACCATTGTGGGCCATTAAATCTTGAACCCCCATAAAGAACCTGTCATTCTTCAGTTCGGAGTCCCGCTTTTCAGGGAGCCCTTGATTGGAACCATCATCATGTCATTGATCTGCTACATTTAATGTTGTTGTTTGCAATCGGGGCTCAACAAAAAGGGAGGAAGGAGTATCGCCATTATACTGTTGTCATGACTCGAGTGATTCTGTTTTATCAGCGTTGGTTCATGTGAGGTGTTTTATCCGCGTCATGACTGGAATGGTGGCTTTCAGTCAGACGCCAACCACGGGCGGATCTTGATGTCCTCATGCTTATGCTACACATACAAATATATTGATATATATATATATATATATGCTTCAGAACTGGAATCCGTGTTCTGTGTCTTCTCAGGGCTCAAACCATGTTTCCACCAACGGCCTTCCGGCAAGTCGTCCACCTCCACCGGCACCGGTCCAGGTCCGGCCTAAATGGCTCGTGGGTAACGGGAATCCCAAAGCGCTAATGGCCTTAGGCTTCGCTCAGTGCTTGAATCGCAGGCACCAGTATTCTACCATCCAAGTCACCCTCTAAGCGGTAGACTAGAGGGAAAAGTCGTGCTTGAATCGCTGGCACCATGATTTTTTAACAATCCTCTAAGCGGGAGGCCAAAGAGAAACAACCCCCACTGACTGACTTTGACAGCCTAACCACACCTTGAAAGGGGTCCAAGGCATTCCGCTTCACACGGGACCAGCTGCGTTTCGCCAACAACCGAAACCTTCAATTCTTGTGACTTGCGTAGGAATCTGCGAACCATACCCTTCCACTCATGTTGACAAACCTGCCTGGGAACCCCTGGAAGACCAATGTGTGAGATATGGTTCCATCTGGTTCCTACATCTTATGGCCGGCCAGCCGGCCAGCAAGTTGGCAAGGTGGCATTGTACTGCATCAAATCAGTGCAAGAACAGCACGACAATGTGACCTACAGCGTCACTCGCATGAACATTTGGGCGCATAGCTATCTGTCCAACTTCCACATGATGCTTGGCAAGATAGTCACTGGGGGGGAAGCCTTTTGGCTGCGTAGGGACGCATCCCTCAACATGATGCCAAGCGGGACGAAATTCCTTCGATTAGCCAAAAAAACAGTTGGTGGCCGAATGAATGAGGACGGGACAAAGGCACAGTGATACCAAGATGTCAAGCGAGTTTGACATTCAAGAAAACACAAAAGGAAACCCAGAAGAAAGTTGTCCTGAATAAATAGCGACGCCTTCCCTCAGCAAGCCTTGTCCAAGGCAAAGTTTCCTAACCATGTGCAAACAAGATATGTCACGGTTGCATCCAGGGTCGTTCACGAACAGCAAAGCATGCAGTGCTTCAAGAGGCTCCAGGATTGCCATGCCATACGTGGACAGCATTTGGCTGCATGATAAAGCAGAATTGCGGAGGAAGACCGCATGCATTTCTTCCACAAGCGGATTCTCAGTTCGTTCTCTTGCACTCGATAAGCCGCAAAGCCGTAAGGCCGTAAGGCCGGGGCAGCCATGACGGTACAAGATAGCGGCCGAGATCTGGGAAAACACGAGTTCGTATCTTTGCCAATGTGCTTTCTTTGCTCTTCACAGGAAAAGCGGATTTTCAGAGCGAGCTGCGATCTGCAACCTTTGGGCCAAAGCATGAATCCAAGCCGGAAGCCTGGTAGCAGTTCTCCGCATTGGTGCGGCTGCATGGATACTTTGTGGGCTGACATCATGTCTCAGGCCGAACACCTTTAACTGGCGCTGTGCAAAAGATCTGGGATAACACTATCTACAGCTTGTCCAGGTAGTCGCCGAGAGCCGGCATCTCCACCTTGAGGTTCTTGCGCTTGCGGATCTGCAGGATGAGCTCCTCCATCTTGCTGCCCTTGTCCATGGGATTGCCGGGCAGGTTCTCCCAGTGGTCGAAGACGCACTGCGGGAATGCCTGACCACTGGTAGCCTGTCGCAAGGCAGCAACAAAACCGAAAGACTCAGAGACAGGCAGGTGCGCTTTCACCTGGATCAAAGGCGTGCCCTCTCTGGGGTTCTCCTCAAAGACGCATCCTCGCCGCAAGTTCATGCAGTTGTAGACACCACTCATGGCCTCTTGTGGGCACGTGATCTCAACCAAGAAGACAGGTTCCTGAAGAGTTGGCTTGGCAGTGAGCTCAGCTGCAAAGCAGCATCGTCTTGTGGGAGGCATGATCTGCCCTGCACCGCGGTGGATGGCATCAGTGTGCAAGGTCACATCCATGAGGTTGAAGCGGATGCCTCGCATGTTCTCCTCACACAGCGGTCCCTCCTTTGTGGCCCACTGGAATGCACTGTTCACGTGCTCCTTGATTTCGATGAGGTACTGCACACCCACCGTGGAGTCGACCACAAGGTTTGCGCCATCGGTCTCGGGGCCATAGCACCAAATCTTCGTCTGGGCCACCTGCTTGTCCCAGTCGAACTTTTCCGTCAGAATCTTGGCTCGCTCCTTTGGATCAGTCTTGGGCCCCACGGTTCCCTCCTCAATGGCCTTGTTGAGCTCCTCGTCCATGGGCTCCGCCACCAAGTAGATGCGGTTGTGCTTGTTCGGCGACTTGGCGAGGCAGGTCTGGCCAGACTGCTCGCTCACAGTCTCGCGGTAGGACACCACGGGGTCTGACACGATGAAGTCGCACTGCGCATACTCATCCCTCAGATCCTTCAAGCAAATCTCAACATGAAGCTCGCCGCAGCCCGCAATGACGTGCTCTCCGCTCTCCTCGGTAGTGCACACCACCAGTGGGTCCGACTTGGACAGCTTCTTCAGGCCCTCCACCAGCTTGGGCAAGTCCTTGCCATCCTTGGCCTTCACTGCAACCTTGACAACAGGAGACACGCTGTACTTCATGTCGGCAATGTTGTGGGCATCCTCCAAATTGGTGATGGTGCCCGACTTCAGGATGTACTGATCCACGCCGACAAGGGCGACAGTGTTGCCACACGGCACATCCTGGATCTGCTCAGTGGTGCGGCCCATCATCAAGACTGTTCGCTGGATGTTCTTCACATGCAGGTCCTCCTTGGTCCCGGGCTTGTAGTACGGACCCTGGATTCGCACCTTCTGTCCCGTGGCAATGGTGCCAGAGAACACGCGGCCAAAGGCGTAGAAGCGGCCCTTGTCCGAGGTGGGAACCATCTTGGACACGTACATCATCAGCGGGCCTGCAGGATCGCAGCTGCGAATGCCGTTGGCCGCCGCATCATCCATGGGACCCTCGTACAAGTTCTCGACGCGGTACTTCTGGGCCTGCCTGGGCGACGGCAGCTTGGTCACGATCATGCCCAGCAAAGTGTCCGCGGCATTGATCCAGATCTGCATGGTTCGCTTCATGAGAGGCTTGCCAGTCAGGGATTTCTCGTCGCCCTTCAGCACAATGCCCAGGGTGCCCATCATCTTCTCATACTTCTCCTTGTCATCATTCATGATGGCCCGCATCAGCTGGTTGATGGGGCCCATGATGAACTGGCAGAAAGCTCGCTGCAAAGGCTCACTGCAACCCTCAGGCTGCATCACGTTGGTCCACACCTTCTTCTTGGCATTGAAGAAAGAGTCGCCCCACATGCGCTGCATCATCTTCTCCTTCTCCACGCCCATCTTGGTGGCATAGATCTTGGCAAAGCGCTCAGTGGTGAAGCCCCATCCGTGAAGGCCGCTGCCAAACGCCACAGTGCCCTTCTCTGGGGTCACCTGCACATCGCCCATCAAGGCATCGTTGTAGGTGGCAATGATCACGTTCACGTTCTCGATGGCCTGTCGGAAGCGAGAATACATGTCCTCGGCTTCCATCTGCAGCTCCAAAATGCAGCGATCCACCTTGTTCACGAAGAGGCATGGCCTCACTCGCTCCTGCAGAGCCTGTCGCAGCACCGTCTCCGTCTGCACAGCGCAGCCTTCAATGCAATCCACCACGACCATGGCGCCGTCTGTGATTCGCAGGGCTGCTGTCACCTCTGAGGAGAAGTCCACGTGGCCTGGAGAGTCAATCAAGTTGATCAAGTGGGGCTTGGGTCCCTGGCTGTCATCGTCTTCGTGCTCGAAGTACAGAGACACTCCTGTGCTCTTGATGGTCACGCCGCGCTCCTGCTCATCTGCACGGGTGTCCGTGAACCTCGCATCACCAGCCGCTTTGGCTGAGATGATGCCAGCCTTGCAAATCAAGGAGTCGGTCAGGGTGGACTTGCCGTGGTCCACGTGCGCGATCACACTCCTTGGCAGTCTATGGGTCTCTTGCCGAAAGTTGAATTTTCAGTGGGATACGTCATGAATTCCTCTAAATCCCTTGCAATCCCAAAAGCCAAGACATGTCCAATGGCTGGGAACCGCCAAGACTCATGGAGCGGATGTTATCCGTCTTATCCATGATGGTGCGCATCTGGTCCACCGTGAAGTTCGGCATGGCTGACAAACACCAACAGAGCACCGCTGGGACGTTCAGAGGTGCTTCACACTCGACCTACGGCCTTGAGAACTGCGGCGGCACAAGGACAGCATGGCCTTTGTCTGAACACACAGAGATCGAAGACCAACATGGCCAAGGTCCTCTGGATTTCCCTTTGAACAAACTCCAAGAATAGGAAAAATGAAAACCTGAAAACCAATTCCTGGCAAGACGCTTGTTCTGAATTCTCCTGGAATTGATCCATATTTGGCGGGATCTCCTGTTGTCAGCTGCAACTTAAATCTTAAATACTGGGACCTCTTTTCGACAGAGTTCTGCACTGCAAGAATGCAGAAATCGGAGATGACTCAAGCTGGCCTTCTCATTCGCTGGCGACGCACATCAACCAATAGTCAACAAGCGTGCCAAACAAGGCTAATGACTATCTACAAAAGAAGGTCTTCCTGACTTCCTGCAGTCTCTAAAGCTGCCCTCTTACAGCTTGTCCAGGTAGTCGCCGAGAGCCGGCATCTCCACCTTGAGGTTCTTGCGCTTGCGGATCTGCAGGATGAGCTCCTCCATCTTGCTGCCCTTGTCCATGGGATTTCCGGGCAGGTTCTCCCAGTGGTCGAAGACGCACTGCGGGAATGCCTGACCACTGGTAGCCTGTCGCAAGGCAGCAACAAAACCGAAAGACTCAGAGACAGGCAGGTGCGCTTTCACCTGGATCAAAGGCGTGCCCTCTCTGGGGTTCTCCTCAAAGACGCATCCTCGCCGCAAGTTCATGCAGTTGTAGACACCACTCATGGCCTCTTGTGGGCACGTGATCTCAACCAAGAATACAGGTTCCTGAAGAGTTGGCTTGGCAGTGAGCTCAGCTGCAAAGCAGCATCGTCTTGTGGGAGGCATGATCTGCCCTGCACCGCGGTGGATGGCATCAGTGTGCAAGGTCACATCCATGAGGTTGAAGCGAATGCCTCGCATGTTCTCCTCACACAGCGGTCCCTCCTTTGTGGCCCACTGGAATGCACTGTTCACGTGCTCCTTGATTTCGATGAGGTACTGCACACCCACCGTGGAGTCGACCACAAGGTTTGCACCATCGGTCTCGGGGCCATAGCACCAAATCTTCGTCTGGGCCACCTGCTTGTCCCAGTCGAACTTTTCCGTCAGAATCTTGGCTCGCTCCTTTGGATCAGTCTTGGGCCCCACGGTTCCCTCCTCAATGGCCTTGTTGAGCTCCTCGTCCATGGGCTCCGCCACCAAGTAGATGCGGTTGTGCTTGTTCGGCGACTTGGCGAGGCAGGTCTGGCCAGACTGCTCGCTCACAGTCTCGCGGTAGGACACCACGGGGTCTGACACGATGAAGTCGCACTGCGCATACTCATCCCTCAGATCCTTCAAGCAAATCTCAACATGAAGCTCGCCGCAGCCCGCAATGACGTGCTCTCCGCTCTCCTCGGTAGTGCACACCACCAGTGGGTCCGACTTGGACAGCTTCTTCAGGCCCTCCACCAGCTTGGGCAAGTCCTTGCCATCCTTGGCCTTCACTGCAACCTTGACAACAGGAGACACGCTGTACTTCATGTCGGCAATGTTGTGGGCATCCTCCAAATTGGTGATGGTGCCCGACTTCAGGATGTACTGATCCACGCCGACAAGGGCGACAGTGTTGCCACACGGCACATCCTGGATCTGCTCAGTGGTGCGGCCCATCATCAAGACTGTTCGCTGGATGTTCTTCACATGCAGGTCCTCCTTGGTCCCGGGCTTGTAGTACGGACCCTGGATTCGCACCTTCTGTCCCGTGGCAATGGTGCCAGAGAACACGCGGCCAAAGGCGTAGAAGCGGCCCTTGTCCGAGGTGGGAACCATCTTGGACACGTACATCATCAGCGGGCCTGCAGGATCGCAGCTGCGAATGCCGTTGGCCGCCGCATCATCCATGGGACCCTCGTACAAGTTCTCGACGCGGTACTTCTGGGCCTGCCTGGGCGACGGCAGCTTGGTCACGATCATGCCCAGCAAAGTGTCCGCGGCATTGATCCAGATCTGCATGGTTCGCTTCATGAGAGGCTTGCCAGTCAGGGATTTCTCGTCGCCCTTCAGCACAATGCCCAGGGTGCCCATCATCTTCTCATACTTCTCCTTGTCATCATTCATGATGGCCCGCATCAGCTGGTTGATGGGGCCCATGATGAACTGGCAGAAAGCTCGCTGCAAAGGCTCACTGCAACCCTCAGGCTGCATCACGTTGGTCCACACCTTCTTCTTGGCATTGAAGAAAGAGTCGCCCCACATGCGCTGCATCATCTTCTCCTTCTCCACGCCCATCTTGGTGGCATAGATCTTGGCAAAGCGCTCAGTGGTGAAGCCCCATCCGTGAAGGCCGCTGCCAAACGCCACAGTGCCCTTCTCTGGGGTCACCTGCACATCGCCCATCAAGGCATCGTTGTAGGTGGCAATGATCACGTTCACGTTCTCGATGGCCTGTCGGAAGCGAGAATACATGTCCTCGGCTTCCATCTGCAGCTCCAAAATGCAGCGATCCACCTTGTTCACGAAGAGGCATGGCCTCACTCGCTCCTGCAGAGCCTGTCGCAGCACCGTCTCCGTCTGCACAGCGCAGCCTTCAATGCAATCCACCACGACCATGGCGCCGTCTGTGATTCGCAGGGCTGCTGTCACCTCTGAGGAGAAGTCCACGTGGCCTGGAGAGTCAATCAAGTTGATCAAGTGGGGCTTGGGTCCCTGGCTGTCATCGTCTTCGTGCTCGAAGTACAGAGACACTCCTGTGCTCTTGATGGTCACGCCGCGCTCCTGCTCATCTGCACGGGTGTCCGTGAACCTCGCATCACCAGCCGCTTTGGCTGAGATGATGCCAGCCTTGCAAATCAAGGAGTCGGTCAGGGTGGACTTGCCGTGGTCCACGTGCGCGATCACACTCCTTGGCAGTCTATGGGTCTCTTGCCGAAAGTTGAATTTTCAGTGGGATACGTCATGAATTCCTCTAAATCCCTTGCAATCCCAAAAGCCAAGACATGTCCAATGGCTGGGAACCGCCAAGACTCATGGAGCGGATGTTATCCGTCTTATCCATGATGGTGCGCATCTGGTCCACCGTGAAGTTCGGCATGGCTGACAAACACCAACAGAGCACCGCTGGGACGTTCAGAGGTGCTTCACACTCGACCTACGGCCTTGAGAACTGCGGCGGCACAAGGACAGCATGGCCTTTGTCTGAACACACAGAGATCGAAGACCAACATGGCCAAGGTCCTCTGGATTTCCCTTTGAACAAACTCCAAGAATAGGAAAAATGAAAACCTGAAAACCAATTCCTGGCAAGACGCTTGTTCTGAATTCTCCTGGAATTGATCCATATTTGGCGGGATCTCCTGTTGTCAGCTGCAACTTAAATCTTAAATACTGGGACCTCTTTTCGACAGAGTTCTGCACTGCAAGAATGCTGAAATCGGAGATGACTCAAGCTGGCCTTCTCATTCGCTGGCGACGCACATCAACCAATAGTCAACAAGCGTGCCAAACAAGGCTAATGACTATCTACAAAAGAAGGTCTTCCTGACTTCCTGCAGTCTCTAAAGCTGCCCTCTTACAGCTTGTCCAGGTAGTCGCCGAGAGCCGGCATCTCCACCTTGAGGTTCTTGCGCTTGCGGATCTGCAGGATGAGCTCCTCCATCTTGCTGCCCTTGTCCATGGGATTTCCGGGCAGGTTCTCCCAGTGGTCGAAGACGCACTGCGGGAATGCCTGACCACTGGTAGCCTGTCGCAAGGCAGCAACAAAACCGAAAGACTCAGAGACAGGCAGGTGCGCTTTCACCTGGATCAAAGGCGTGCCCTCTCTGGGGTTCTCCTCAAAGACGCATCCTCGCCGCAAGTTCATGCAGTTGTAGACACCACTCATGGCCTCTTGTGGGCACGTGATCTCAACCAAGAATACAGGTTCCTGAAGAGTTGGCTTGGCAGTGAGCTCAGCTGCAAAGCAGCATCGTCTTGTGGGAGGCATGATCTGCCCTGCACCGCGGTGGATGGCATCAGTGTGCAAGGTCACATCCATGAGGTTGAAGCGAATGCCTCGCATGTTCTCCTCACACAGCGGTCCCTCCTTTGTGGCCCACTGGAATGCACTGTTCACGTGCTCCTTGATTTCGATGAGGTACTGCACACCCACCGTGGAGTCGACCACAAGGTTTGCACCATCGGTCTCGGGGCCATAGCACCAAATCTTCGTCTGGGCCACCTGCTTGTCCCAGTCGAACTTTTCCGTCAGAATCTTGGCTCGCTCCTTTGGATCAGTCTTGGGCCCCACGGTTCCCTCCTCAATGGCCTTGTTGAGCTCCTCGTCCATGGGCTCCGCCACCAAGTAGATGCGGTTGTGCTTGTTCGGCGACTTGGCGAGGCAGGTCTGGCCAGACTGCTCGCTCACAGTCTCGCGGTAGGACACCACGGGGTCTGACACGATGAAGTCGCACTGCGCATACTCATCCCTCAGATCCTTCAAGCAAATCTCAACATGAAGCTCGCCGCAGCCCGCAATGACGTGCTCTCCGCTCTCCTCGGTAGTGCACACCACCAGTGGGTCCGACTTGGACAGCTTCTTCAGGCCCTCCACCAGCTTGGGCAAGTCCTTGCCATCCTTGGCCTTCACTGCAACCTTGACAACAGGAGACACGCTGTACTTCATGTCGGCAATGTTGTGGGCATCCTCCAAATTGGTGATGGTGCCCGACTTCAGGATGTACTGATCCACGCCGACAAGGGCGACAGTATTGCCACACGGCACATCCTGGATCTGCTCAGTGGTCCGGCCCATCATCAAGACTGTTCGCTGGATGTTCTTCACATGCAGGTCCTCCTTGGTGCCGGGCTTGTAGTACGGACCCTGGATTCGCACCTTCTGTCCCGTGGCAATGGTGCCAGAGAACACGCGGCCAAAGGCGTAGAAGCGGCCCTTGTCCGAGGTGGGAACCATCTTGGACACGTACATCATCAGCGGGCCTGCAGGATCGCAGCTGCGAATGCCGTTGGCCGCCGCATCATCCATGGGACCCTCGTACAAGTTCTCCACGCGGTACTTCTGGGCCTGCCTGGGCGACGGCAGCTTGGTCACGATCATGCCCAGCAAAGTGTCCGCGGCATTGATCCAGATCTGCATGGTTCGCTTCATGAGAGGCTTGCCAGTCAGGGATTTCTCGTCGCCCTTCAGCACAATGCCCAGGGTGCCCATCATCTTCTCATACTTCTCCTTGTCATCATTCATGATGGCCCGCATCAGCTGGTTGATCGGGCCCATGATGAACTGGCAGAAAGCTCGCTGCAAAGGCTCACTGCAACCCTCAGGCTGCATCACGTTGGTCCACACCTTCTTCTTGGCATTGAAGAAAGAGTCGCCCCACATGCGCTGCATCATCTTCTCCTTCTCCACGCCCATCTTGGTGGCATAGATCTTGGCAAAGCGCTCAGTGGTGAAGCCCCATCCGTGAAGGCCGCTGCCAAACGCCACAGTGCCCTTCTCTGGGGTCACCTGCACATCGCCCATCAAGGCATCGTTGTAGGTGGCAATGATCACGTTCACGTTCTCGATGGCCTGTCGGAAGCGAGAATACATGTCCTCGGCTTCCATCTGCAGCTCCAAAATGCAGCGATCCACCTTGTTCACGAAGAGGCATGGCCTCACTCGCTCCTGCAGAGCCTGTCGCAGCACCGTCTCCGTCTGCACAGCGCAGCCTTCAATGCAATCCACCACGACCATGGCGCCGTCTGTGATTCGCAGGGCTGCTGTCACCTCTGAGGAGAAGTCCACGTGGCCTGGAGAGTCAATCAAGTTGATCAAGTGGGGCTTGGGTCCCTGGCTGTCATCGTCTTCGTGCTCGAAGTACAGAGACACTCCTGTGCTCTTGATGGTCACGCCGCGCTCCTGCTCATCTGCACGGGTGTCCGTGAACCTCGCATCACCAGCCGCTTTGGCTGAGATGATGCCAGCCTTGCAAATCAAGGAGTCGGTCAGGGTGGACTTGCCGTGGTCCACGTGCGCGATCACACTCCTTGGCAGTCTATGGGTCTCTTGCCGAAAGTTGAATTTTCAGTGGGATACGTCATAAATTCCTCTAAATCCCTTGCAATCCCAAAAGCCAAGACATGTCCAATGGCTGGGAACCGCCAAGACTCATGGAGCGGATGTTATCCGTCTTATCCATGATGGTGCGCATCTGGTCCACCGTGAAGTTCGGCATAGCGGGCAAATGGAGCGGCTGGGCGTGGCCAGCGATAAACTTACCGCGTGGCTTGTCTTGAGCCAGGTGCTCGCGGCTGGCGAGAAAATCCAGAAGGTAACCTTGAATTGTGCGAGCAACAGCCAACTGACAAAAGATGTCACAACGGCTCCAACAGCTGGAACTTCTGGCCCCCTTGACAAGATGAAGGCAACCCCCGAAAAAGAAATACACGAATAGCTTCAACATACACATAAGACGACACCGAAATCGCTTTTGGTGGCCGAACATTTTGCCAAAAGGACCGCCCTGATGGCCAGGCTTTCCGAAAGAAGAATCATGAGAACCCAAAAAAGACCTGCAGGTACATGAATCAAGCATAGCATAAACCGCGTTGTACAACCGCGTGGCATCCCCAACATCCCCTGGCTTCTGGCGCGCATCTCCAGCATTTGCAGCATCATTGGCATCACTAGGACTCATGTTGCGAGCTTGGATGTTGTGTGATGCGCGGGCTGCATCATCTGTATTCAGGTCTGGCAACGTGCCAGCTGTTTTTTCCCATCAGTTTGAAACTGCACATCACCGAAACCGCACATCACCACCACTGGCGGCTTGCATCACCCTCACACCAACAGCATCGCCAACGGTTGCTGCTTAAGGTGTGTGAGTGTACAATGAATTGGGGTGAGTTTGAAGGTGGGGTGAAAAGTCGACTTCGGGTGGGGGAGTAAATTGGCATTGGTTGCGGCGGAGGTGGGCTGCGTAATTTTGAAGGCAGCCTTGAAGTGATTCATGGGTTTAAGCCGGCTCGAGGTAGGCCTAGTAATGGGTTAGAGGTGGGGATGGAGCGGATTTAAGGCGAGATTGAGATGCACTTAAGCCGGTTCTCCGGCGTTTGGGTTGTTTTAAGATGGGTGAACGGGCTGTCTTCGGATAGGGTGTAAGCTCAAGATCAGCCTAGTGCATCACGGGAAACCACAAAAATCCGTAGAAACGCTTGTCACACAAAACAGCTGTCAAAACTGGCAACGTCAACGACTCCACAAACAACTGACACACTCCGAGCTCCGGAACAACTCTGGAACCCCACAGCAATCGCTTCGTTCACCCACCTCCCAGCAGACCGCATCCAGGCACCCTGTCCTGCCAATCCCAACACGGCTTCACACTGACCTGCACACCAAAGCAGGTGTGTGTGTGTGTCCTCTATGAAGGAACAACCTGAGACACTGGCCGCGTACTCTCCTTTGACCCCTCCGTGACCACTTCCACCAATTCAACATTCTTCACCACGATGTCGCTCATGTCCCGCATGTCCCACTTGGACTTCCCGCATTTGCCGCCCTAAATGAGTACTCGGTTCCAACTAAATAGCTCGCCAAGCGCTCGGCGTGCTTCCATGCCGTCTTCGCGAACTGGCAGTCCAGCCGCTCGCCTCCGATATACAGCATCTTGCCCACAATAGATCTGAAGCCTCGTTGGACAGTTCTACTTTCCCAACATCACTCTTCGCTGACGTCTTCTTGTGTGCGCCAAATGTGGATGTCAGCCTTTCACGCAACCTCAATGTGCTTTGGGTCCGGCCTGACCACGTTGCCCACGTCGATCCTGCGGATCTTTCTCCTCACCGACCTTGAATTTTTGTGCTCCGAGAACTTCATGAACTCGCTTCTTTTCGATTTCCTACAAGGGCTGGTCGCTGAAGCAACGGCCAAAACGGCCGTTTTGGCGCGGGCCACACTCCAGAAGCATGGGCGTCACAGAAATGACAGAAACGATGAATTATGTCAAAAACGATGGTCAGTGTCACAGGAACGATGAACAGTGTCACAGGAACGGAACGATGAAGTATATCGCAGACACGATGAACAACATCTTGCAAACGAGGATAAGTTACCGTTACAATCCATGCGTTTGTTTGCCATTGCCAAAAATAAACTCACAGTGCTGCCCCTGGTGCAAATCAAACACAAG